AGCGGTCAGACCTGGCTGTCTGCTCCTCCCAGCAAATGTCTGGGTGGTTTAGGGCACCCATGACAATCACATCCCTTGACTTAACCGCCTCCATAAGCTGACTGGAGAGGTCCTGGTCCAGCTCTTCCCCCTGGTTGGGTGGTCTGTAGTAGACACCCACCGTACAGTCCCTTTTGCCGTGCCCCCCCTTGTAGTTTGACCCATAGTGTCTCTGCCCGACCCTCCTCTACCCCGAAGCTAATCCTTGATGATGTGAGGCGCTCTTTGCCATAGAGCGCCACCACCCAGCTTTCCTCTCTGTCCTGTCTTGTCTATATTGGGTGTACCCCCGAATGCCCACCGCCCAGTCGTGGGTAGGGTCCCACCAGGTTTCTGTGAGCCCTACTACGTCTGGGTTCTTACTTGCAATCAGGAGGCACAGATGCTCCTGCTTACACCCCATACCACGAGCATTGGTGTAGAGGCACCTGAGGCCTCCTGAGGGTGCCCGTGCCTCCCTCCCACTCCCAGGACAGTTGTGGCTCCCTGCTCCCCGGACATTGATGCTCACCTGGGCTTCCCTTCCCCTTGTCACCCTGCGTGCTGGTGAAGCATCCTCTCCACTCGAAGCGGCCCCTTCCCCCGGCGAAGCTAGTTTAAAGCCCGCCGTACGAGATCAGCCAACCTAGAGGAAAAGATACGTCTGCCCTTAGGGGAGAGGTGAAGCCTGTCCCCCCCCAGCATGCCCTCCTTACAAAAACATGGGTCATTGTCCAAAAACCCAAAGCCTGCCTTGTGGCCAAGGGCCGGTTTGTCCACCCTTTCACTGAGGAGTACCTAAATACCTAAACAGTCCATAAATAGTCCCATTGAGTGCATTTACACGTGCACTTCAATGCACATTAGCCTTTTTTAATGTGCATTAAAGCGTCACAAAAAATTGTGCTCTTTAGCAAATGTGCATTAAGATAGGCTAATGAGCATTTTTCTAGTACCCCACAGTGGAGAGTCTAGATTTAATGCGCATGACCTAAAGCACATTCATTGCACATGTAGATATGCCCTTTGATTTCTACTGGGGCCTTTTTTATTTGCTAATGGCCATGATGCTCATTAACACGGTGTATTTATTTCAGTGGGCAAAAGCTCAGAACTTGAGTGCTACTGAGTCACCTCCTACCTGCCTTTTGGCGTGAAGGGTATTTAAGCCATCCAGGGTCTTGCTCAAGTTGACCAACGTGATGAATGCCGCTGTTTCTTTTTTGGCTCCTCCGTGTTGTCGTCGTCTTCATCAGCATCGAAACGGCAGGTTCGTTTGTCACCGGTGCAGGAAGAGCGCAGCAGAGGAGTTTGAACTCGGGTAAAGAGAGTGGGGACTCTAATTGGAAAACAGTGTCCTTTGAAACAAATAGTTGATTGACCCTTTCTTTTTAACCCCGTGGGCAGGTGGGAAGAGTATCATATCGGTGCTGACTCCTCTTATAGGGTGCAGCTTCTTTTCCATTGCAAGCAAACTTGCACAGAAAGTAGGGCCTATAGACTAGGACATTGCAGGAGTGATTAAAGTCACTTTTTCCCCCCTCCAAAGTGAGGCAGATTTGCTAAAAATAGAGTATACGAGCAGAGTAGCAGGTCCGGTGAGCCTCCCCTGCAAAAGGGTTCGTAACCGGGACCAAGTCTGAACAATGGCAGCGCCCCTCTCCGAATGGCGCCTCTGTCTGCTGGCATCCCCTGGGTGACTGTTTGATTTGGGAGGTTAGTATGACCCGCTGAGACCGAGCATTAAGGAATTATCATCGGTTTGGTCACTGATTGTGGGTCTGGTGTACAAGCGCGTCTATTTAAATGGGCTTGCTGACGGCTGTTGGGTGCCTGCTTGCCAGCAGGAAGGAGGAGGCTTTGGGCTGACTCGCCTGCTCCCAGGCTGCTGTTGGTAACAAATACCGGGTGCTGGTTTCTTTGGGGGGCAGCATGTGACGGGCTGCTCCAGCCCGATTTTGGGCTGAGGCAGGGCTGTGCTGGTGTAACAGGGGACCGAAGTGCAATGAGGAAGGTGATGCACTTGGCTGTGACAGGGCAGGGAGGGTGAAGACATTTTCCTGCCTTGTGTTTTGCTTTCAGTAAGATTTTCAAGGTGCACTTCTGGCTTTTCATGCCCACTCGTGGAGCCCGCTTGAGTGCCTGGCTCCGGCCACTTGACGTCTCAGTTGTGGCTGCATTTTTCTAGCCGTGTGGGAGAGCATTAGAGCAGTTTCCCTGTATTTTTTTTTCCTAGCCTGTTTGTTATCTTTGCTTGCGAGTGCTTTGTACCAAGAAAAGGTCCTTTTGATTCTTTGGGCATAAAGGACACGGGAAATAATGAGTCATAAGAGTACATGAATGAAACACCTGCATGGAGGAGTTTTGTCGACTGCGTGCCCAGAGCGCTGCGCTTTGGATGGTTATTATGTAAATGGCTGCTGTCAGAGCTATAATTTATAGTTATTATTCTACCAAAAAGAGGGTTTCTGCCTGAATACGGACTCCAGGTTTGGATCGGTTTATGGTTATGGGTGAACAGAAAGAGCTTTTCTCAGGTGCTTCTGAATAACGCCTCCAAACGGGGCGCTTTCAGGCCCTGAAGCGGATGATATAGAGTGGATTATTCTGGGGCCGGAGTAAAGGGTGACGCACGTGGTGCTAACAAAATGCTTGGTGGAGGCTGCTCAGTTTAGTGTGGGCACCGGGGGAGGTTCATCTTTCAGTTCGACCACCTCCGTGGTTGCTGGTCTGTGCACAAGAAAGCGCGTGTTCGAGTCCGGAGGGGGTGTGGGGCCTTGGATAGGAACTGAAAAATAACCTGGTGTGTTTGGGCTACAGGAACAAACTGCTCGGGAGCAATTGCACGTCTGAGAAGGACCCGGGATGCAGCGTGCGGCACGCTCTCCCCCTGCCACCTTTCCTCTGGGAGCGGAGAGCACGCTATTCAGGCCGAATGGTTGGAGTTTGCCCCCGATCTGCCTGGGCAGAACCGCTTCCCTGTGGAGCGAGGCAGCAGAGTCGGGCCCAGGAGTTCTTGTTTTGCCCAAATTTTTAATCATCAGATGTCTCGCCTTGCCTGTTTTGCTCCCGGCTGTTACTCAGGCCTGTCTCTAGCCCACCTTCTGATGCCTTTCCTCCATGCCCGTGTCTGTGGTTGGGAAATGCAGGGTGTTTAGCAGGTCAGGACGGTAGCATTTACAGATGGAGATGCCAGTAGGTGTGGCGACTCGAGGGTCCTCTGTAGGTACCAAAGCAAGCCAAGCTGCTGTAATTATGTCAGTCTGGGGTAGGGGTTCAATCAGAAGGCAGGGTAGATTTGCACCTTTTGGGCTAACCGAAGTAAGCTATAGAAAGCAGAAACTTTTGGGAGCTGAAGCTCATTTCATCAGATGCTGTGAAAGGACATGCAGAAAGCGAAGTAGCAGAGAGAAATGAGAAGATGCTGTGCTGGGTTCATTGTGATAACTGGGTGGATGGAGCATGAATTTGTCTGTGTAAGAAGGGGCCTGTCTCTACCGATGCCTTGTCCCCCTCCCTGTGGCGTGGCACTGACCGAGGATGTTTTTGGCAGGTTATTAGGACTGAAGATGTTAAGGGTTTTAGGTCTTGTCCTCTGTGGCCTGCTGATGCCATCTGAAGGGCTGCGAGTGGGAAGCACCATCATCCCCCAGTCGTCGTATGCAAGGGGTAAGCAAAGTCCGCAGGGCGTGTTCACACCATGCACTCTGCAGCCAGGCCCTCGAAGATGAGGCTCATCTCCGCAGCCCCTTCTCGTCCCCGTTCTGCTCCGTGCTGATTTTTTTTGCAGTTGCTTATTCATCTTTTTTCAGTCCCAGCTCCTCTGAGCTCCTGTCTCCTTCAGGAAACTCAGCCAGCCAGCCTGTTCCTTCCTCCTGCTTGTGCCCATTGAGTTTTGGAGGTCTTAGTCTTTCCTGATGTGTAGGGACACAAAGCTGATGCGCAGTGCTGCATCCAGTGTCCCTTCTCCATCTTAAAGAGAATGGGGGGGAGGTGGAGACCATGTCAGGAGCATGGATCAGCTGGGATGTGCCTCCTTGGTGCCCTGTTGAGGGGTCTTTCCCCACTGCAGCCTCCACTTGTGCTGAGATTGGGCACCTGCATTGGAGCTGCCATCTCTAGTGCAAATTGTGTGTAGCAAAGGGTCAGGGCAGTCGACCTTATAACATGCAGCTGACGGTTCTGGGTACCACGTCTGTGAATGGTGCCCCTGGGCACGGAGCGCTAAAATCGGACATCTTTTACTGGACCGGGGCAGTAGCGAGGGTTCGGAGCGACTGGCCTGTGCTAACCCTTCCCCTCTGATATTGCACTTACAGTTTTACACTTGCAATCAACCGTGGGAGCAGAGCGGTGGGTTCAGGTTGTTCGAGAGCCGGCCGCAGACATCTCCGTGTCTATTGTTTGCAGCTGCAATGAATCCAGGGCACAACCAGAGGCTGGACTGAGATTCCTGGGGACTTTGCCCTACTTAGCCTGCGTGAAAGCAAGGGCACGATGCCGTTCTTCTATCTTTGACAGGAAATCGGGGTCCAGAGCACCGAGTCTCACGGCAGTGTTTTTCCTTACAGCTTGCGAAGAATCAATGAGTGGCCTTTTCGAGTCTGAATCGAGGAATATCACATTCCCTGGATTAAAATTTACCTCGGTGTTTATCAAAGAGTGAGCAACAAATCGTAGAGTAACGGCTTCTACCTGAGTAACGTGGTCTGTATCGCAGTACTGCTCAGAGGCCCCTTTTGCAGACCTGGCCCTCGCGGGGCTGGGGATGGTCCGATCACACCACGGAGACGGTCCCTGTTCAGCCCCACGTGTGTTAATCGCAAGCTAATTCTGGGATTTTGCATTGGCAGCAAAATGGAGGTTTTGTGGGCATGGGGAGGGGGTCACCAAGCAAAGGCGCAGTGTTTGGCCATGCGGAGTAGCTGGGGTTGGGGTGTTGTTCGCTCCACCAGTAACTCTCGTGATGGGCAAGCCTGGGATTCCAGTAGGGCCGGGGTGGGATCCGTCCTACTGAGGCTAGGGGAGGGCTCAGAGTACCGCGGCCAAGGTGTAGGTAGCTGGGCACTGCCCAGGCACCGGGCTGGAGAGCAGCACTGCAGCGCTGGGAGAAGCGGCCGTGCCTGAGGGGATCATTTTGGCAGAGAAGAAGCAAATGCAAACCCATTCATCTCGCATGAATCGATGTGATCTCAGGTCACTGCCCCTAGGAGACCGGTTGCTTTGCACGCCGCTTTTAGTGGGGGAGCTGGCTGCAGGGCAGCCTGCAGACGAGTCCCTCGAGCGCCAGGCTGCCAAATGTAATATATTGTGCCACAGCCATTAATGCTTATGGAAGGGGGTTGTGGATCCTGCGGGAGTCTCTGCCTCTTTGCCTGGCCGTGCTTCTTTCCTCCCATTTTTCTGATCTCAATTTGCAGCTTGCACGTGGCTACAATTATCATCTACCCGGTCAAGATATTGTGTGTTCCTGGAGTTGGGGTCAAGGTGATATTTACTGCTAAACTCCACATCCTAGGCACTTGGTGAGTGTGGGCTGCCGACTCCGTGGCCTTTTGGTCCCTTTCCCCAGTGTAACAGGCGTGGGGGGGAAGGTGGAGGCAGGGTACATTGGGGGGGGTGGTGTCTGGAAAGATTTGCAAAAAGTAAAGCCCGTTTCCATTCGAAACCTCCCTGAGGCTTAGGCTCTGTAGCTCACTGAAGCTCTACAAATGTCAGAGAATGAGCAAAGACATTCCCCTGGAGACCCTCTAATGGCTTTTGCCCAGCCTGCCCTTACCTGCCTCTCAGATGCTCGTGCACTAGCGAAATGTCCGACGGGGCATGTTATTTCTAGACTCACTTTGCTTGCAGGTGCTGCTGGACTAGCCGTGTCTGGAGCAGGCTGCCAGCTTGCATCTGCTGTGGTCACCTGCTAACTTTCTGCCTTTCCCCGCACAAAAGCCAGCCTAGCACCTTTGGTCGGTGCACGGGATTACATCTAACAGCTTTTTGCAAACGGGGTCCGGAACGAGCTTTGGGCACCTCAAAAGTTGTTGGGATTGCATACGTCACGCTTGTAGATCTTGTATTTCCGTGTATCCTGTTTTGCTGCAACAGCTAGGTCCTCTGCGTGGTGATTTTGGACCACGTTAGATTCACTGTAGGCTTACTGCTTACAATGCTTTTTTTATTCAAACAGGGACCAAACACATGTTTCTATGGACTTATGTAGTCCTAAGGATGCCAGAGGTCACACAGGCTTGTGCTTTAGATAGGAGTACGAGGTTCTTTGGGTAAATCTGATCTCTTTTATTA